AGGGGCTGCACCTAGGGATTGGGCCTGCCCTCTGCCACCTGGGAGCAGGCCTAAGCCAGCAGGTCGTTATCTCCTGAGGGGTCCCAGATTGCGAGAAGGCACAGGCTGGGCTGAGGGACCCCCCTACCCCCCCGAGTGCAAAAATTTTTGTGCACCAGGCCTCTAGTAGGTTAATAAAACCATAATAAAGCTTATTTTCCTAAGTTAGATGATCATTAGATAAACTTATTAGATAATGTTTTAGCATATTATTAAAAAGACATGGAATTTGGTTTTGCCTTATTTCCGTATTTTAGGCACTTTTTCCCAACAAAAGTTTTTTGAGGTAATTTTGCACCTGATGACAGAGTGAATAAAAGCTGTCCAGTAGGAATGGTAAAGGGGAAAGGCAACAAGTGTTCAAGAAATAGGGAAGTGCAGAGACCCACTTCACTTCAATCACCCACAGCCAGTGTCAGACCTTGGACTTGACCCAAAAGTGAACATGTTTCAGTTCTAAAACATTAAATCCCAATGTCTCACTTTTTGAACACAGCTTCTAATTCTTTAAACTTTATACTTTACCTCTTTTTACACAGTATTTTCAGTCTTATAGAGACCTCTGATCCCTTGATTCTATCACACTATGCCAGGCTACCAGTTTCAGCCTCATCTAAACCCTATGGGTTACCTCCCTGACCTACTATTTTGTCACTTTTCTGTTACATTGCTACTCTCCTATGGAAGAAATGAATTTATTTGCTTACATTTATTTTCTGATTTTAGCTTATTTTAGCTTATTGCTAAATTAGATAATATTTTAATGGAGGCTTGAACTTACTAATTAACCATAATTTGAGAGGGAAATGGAGGTAAAGGGAAGAATCACAATGTATTACTGTTAGAGGGAACACAATTGGGGATTGACTAAGAAATGAATGTGGGAACAACTCTCTTGGGAAACTGGTTGTGAGACATCTGTATTTCAGTTGCTGAACCCATCAGTACAACAGTCAAGTCCATGACTAGGAGAGCGGGTATAGCTTTGGCAGCAGTTCTGATAACCCTGAGTTCTACTGGATTTTATTTGAACATCAGACTCAAAAACCGGGCCAAAAACAGGTAAAGGTATTCTTTTTTTTTTAATATACAAATATCCCTTCTCATAGGTATCCATCCCTCCCCTTTCTGCTTAGAAACAATATCAAAATCAGCAAAGTTCTACTCAGAGGAAGTCATATCAATGAGATCCTAATACCTCAACCATAAAATATGAGAAATAAACTTTATTCATTGAATTTCTGTATAGATTAAAAGAAATGCTTTACATGAAGCATTCTTACTTGCATCTACACAAAGGCATTCAACAAAAACCTATCCTTATTATTGTTATTATTATTAATGTTATGGGAGAAGAAGGATGAAGATAGAAAGGGATGGAAAGGTGATAGAAGGATAAATATTCATGATACATTCAATATACATGAGGCATATGGGGCACTCATTTATGAGTTCTTAAATTGACCACCCATAGGTAATACTCATTTTGATATCATACATAATTTTCCTAAGAAATATGGGTAAAATTTATAGTTACTCATTAGGCCAACAAAGAGCTACAAGTATGCTGTGTATACTTGCCCTGCAGGTATGTGCATTGGCCCTAGTAACACAATACGGGGCTCCTCTGTTCAAGATCCTTTAGTCTTTAAAGCCATAAAATCAGCAAAGAGGATTGATGAAGCTGAGCAAAACAGGACATATGAACACTGCTCAACACAGGATTTGCATGGTGTGCTTGCAAACTCTCCTAAGTGTGTTTATCTAAATAATCTCTTTCCGTTGGCTTCTTGCTGTACTTTAAATTGATTTAATAGACTCTATGTTTTGAGCTTCTTAATTTGGCAGAGTTGTTTAAAACATTTTCCTATTACTCCTTTAATTTTGAAGGATCTGTAGTAATGTCCTCTCACTCCTAATATTAAAATTTTGTGTGTTTTATCTTTCTTTCTTGTTCAATTCAACTAGAAATGTATCAATTGTATCAAGCTTTTCAAAGAACTATCTCTTGATTTCATTGAAATTTTTGTTTTCTAATAGTCTTTCATTAATTTAATTATATCCTTCCTCCTTTGTGTTTAAATTGCTCTTCTGCTGCTAGTTTCTTGAGTTGGATGCTTCTTAAGTGATTGTTTTTAAACTTTTCTTCTTTCCTAATACAAGCATTTAAACATTTAATACTATGAATTTCTTTCTAGAACAGTATTAAGCTAAATGTAATAAGTCAGGCATAAAAAGACAAATACCATAGATTTCACTTATATTTGGAATCTAAAGAACAAAATAAACCAGCAAAACAGAAACAGACTCATAGATATAAAGAACAAACTGATGTTTGCCAGACGGGAAGGTACTTAGATGATGGGTAAAAAAGGTGAAGGGATTAAGAAGTAGAAATTCTTAGTTACAAAATAGGCACAGGAATGTAAAGTGCAGCATAGGGAATATAATCAATAATATTATAATAATTATATATGGTGTCAGATGGGTACTAGATTTATTGGGGTGATCCCTTCGCACATTATATAAATGTCTAACAATTATGCTGTACACCTAAAATTAATATAAAATTATATTGAACTTCAAAAAAAACCAAAAAACTTTAACATTGCAGCTGTCAGAACCTTCCATTTTAGATGAGTTTGTGAACAAATTAAACTATTCCACAGTAGCTGACCAATTCTCTCTAATACCCATAATTATCATTTAAAAATCTATCATTAAAAAATCTTTGAACCCAATTCAAAATAAGGTAAATAAAACATACAAATAAAACATCCTCTAGATATTGCTTTAGCTGTATCTCATGAATTGTAATGAAACCCAGGTACATGCCCTTGACTATAAATCAAACCCATGACCCTTTGGTCCAACGGCCAACATTCTAACCACTGAGCAAAGTGGCCAGGGCATGTATTGTATTTTGGGTATTCAGTTCAAACATTTTCTAATTTCCCTTTATTTCTTC